GACATGGTTCAATGCTATGAAATCCCGGGAGCTGATGTTTCACAATGTTTTTAGCCTTCTCAGGCCCCTTCTACACTACCATATAACCCAGATTATCCAAGCAGAAAATGGGTTGCTGTGAGTTTTCCAGGCTTCCATGTTCTCTCCCAACATTTTGCCCACATCTATGGCAGAGCTTGTGAGGTCTGCTGGAAACTAGGCAAGTGGGGTTTATATATCTGTGAAATGCCCAGGAATGTACATTCCACAGATATATATACCTCTGAGGATGCCTGTCATAGATGTGGGTGAAATGTCAGGAGAGAATGCTTCTGGAACATGGTCATACAGCCAGGAAACTCACATTAGCCCAGTATCCAGTTATTCCTGCCATGAAAGGCTTTGACAACACGCCAAATTCAGACTGTTTGTTCCTCTTTTTGTATGTTTTTTGGCTGTCTCTTTCCCATAGATGCATACTTCCTATATTTCCTTTAAAAAGTTATGCTATAATTGCAGAATTATAGAACTCAAGTGTACCTCACGGGTACTCTAGCCCAACCCCTCTTCCCTTCCAATGCAGGAGTTAAGAGTTTCCAGCTGAAATGCAGAACAGGGATTTTAATAGTGGCTTGGAAAATGGCATTTTTCAACAGGTGTTGCAATCATACCTGCTAAAATTCTCTCTTCTGCACAGCCATTAAAGCTACAAAATGCCTCTCCTGTGTTTCACCTGGCAAACCGAGCAAAAATTCACAGCTAAAGTATCTTTCCAAATTCTGCTCCAAAATTTCTAGCAAAGCAAACCTTTGGAGCCAGCCTATTTCATTGTCAAACAGCTCGGTGTACAAGACGTTCTTCCTAATGTTTATTTGGCGTCTCCTTTATTATAATTTCAATCCATTGGTTCCAGTCCTATTCTCTGGAGCAGCAGCAAACAGGCTTGCTCCATTTTCCACATGACAGTCCTTCAAAGATATTCAAAGATGGCTCGCATTCTGTTTCCTCTTCTTCAGGCTAAACATGCGCGCCTCCTTCAATCATTCCTCATAGGATTAGGTATCCAGACCCTTTACCATCTTGGTTGACCCAGCCTTGAATACTCCCCAGCATCTCAATTTCCTGCTTAAACTGTGCTGGATAAATATTAATGCACCGAGGAAGGGGGTGAGAGATGCTTGCTTGCCCCCCAGATGGGAAACACTTGTATTGTGGGAATCTCCGTTACCTGCATATAATTTCAAGAATGAATGTTTCAGGAGAATCATGTCAGGATGTGTGTTCTCCACCCAGACCTATTTGGTAATACAGGTGGAGTGTACCAAATCTAAAATTCCCAAACACCCCAAAATAGTTCACATGGATGGGAGATAGAGTGATGCCTTTGCTTTCTGAGGGTTCAGTATAATTGTGTATAGAATTATGTAAATACTAGCTGTACCCGCCACGCATTGGTGTAGCTAACCTACCTCTTTCTCTCCTTCTTTCCTCCCTCCCTCCCTCCCTCCCTCCTTCCTTCCTTCCTTCCTTCCTTCCCTCTTTCTTTTCCTTCCTTCCCCTCCTTTTTTTCTTCCTTCTTCCTTCCCCTCCCTCCCCTTTTTTCTCCTTTTCCTTCCTTCCCTCCTTCCTTCCTCCCTCCTTCCTTCCTTCCTTCCTTTTTCTTCCCAATGCTAAAAACAGGAATGCAATGCAACCTATTGAGAAGGTAACTGTCCACTTGGGAAGGATTCCAAGCTCCCCTCCATCTTTCCTTTCCCTTTCTCCCTCTCTCTTTCCTTCCTTCCTTCCTTCCTTCCTTCCTTCCTTCCTTCCTTCCTTCCTTCCTCCCTCTTTTTTCTTCCTTCCTTTCTCTCTCTCCTTCCTTCCTCTTTCCTTTCTTCCTTCCTTTCTCCTCCTTCCCTTCCCTTTCTCATCCCTCCCTCCCTCCCTTCCCCCTTCTCTCTTTTTCTCCTTCCTTCCTTCCTTTCCTTCCTTCCTTCTTCCTTCCTCCTTCCCTCCTCCCCTCCTTCCCTCCCTCCTTCCTCCCCTCCTCTTCCTTTCTTTCTCCTTCTTCCTCCTTCCTTCCTTCCTTCCCCTCCCCTTTTCTTTCTCTCCTTTCTTCCTTCTCTACCTATTCTTAGACTGTAACTCCCAGTAGTCCTCCTGATTGATATATGTACCTACTATTTATTTCTATCTAATCTATATATCTTATTGATCTGGAGGATTGCTGGGAGTTGCAGTCCAGGAATAGAAAACAGGAAATATGAACTGATTGGGATGCTCTCAAAGAAATCCAAGGAGAAGCAAACTTGCAGCTTGGAAGCAGTGCATTCGGAGCATCCTCCTCCCCTTAAGGGCCTGGTCTAGGGGATGCTGGGTGCTGTCATTTTTGCACATGCGCTGTATCGTTATTTAGCTTTTTTGCAGATTTTAAGCCCTTTCCACTATATTTTGGGAGGGGTTTATGCGTGATGGTCACTTGTTAGTCTGTTAGGGCTGTAGTGTCCAAGTTTGGTGTCAATTCATCCAGTGGTTTTTGAGTTATGTTAATCCCACAAACAAACATTACATTTTTATTTATATAGATAGATTATGCCTAACATTTGGACTGTGTGTATAAGGTGTATATGAAATATAAATGAATGTTGTATTTAGATTTGGGTCCCAATCTAAATTATGTACATATATGCAAATACAGATATTCCAAAATCCCAAATACTTCATGTCCCATGTTTATAACTCTAGATCTCATCCATTATAGTCTCCAAATCACCCACAACTTTGGGTGCATCTACATTGTCAAATTAATGCAGTTTGACACCATGTTAACTGCTGTAGTTCAAAGCTATGGAGTCTTGGGAGTTGTTCTTTTCAAAGGTCTTTCACCTTCTCTGCCAAAAAATGCTGGTGCCTTGCCAAACGACAACTCCCAGAAATCCATAACATTGAGCCATGGCTGATAAAGTGGTGTCGAACTACATCAGTTCTACAGTGTAGATGTACCCTTTGTTTTCCTTCCAGGCTGGATTAGAGATTTGTTGGTAATAGCTCCTATAATGCCCCCAATGGCGCAGTGGGTTAAACCGCTGAGCTGTTGAACTTGCTAACCAAAAGATTGTTGGAGCATGTAAGGAATCAGTTGATGTGTGTGTGTCAACTGTAAAATAAGATGCTTGAAACTGATTGGTCGGTCACTGCCCGGGGAGCAAGCTGAGCCTGGGACTTTTAGTTACTGTTACATTTTTGTTCAGGCTTGGGCTATGCAAGTGCAGAGAGAGATAAAGAGAGAAGCAGAGAGAGACAGGTTTTGGAGCTTGCTCTTGCTTCATGTGCTACTGAAGGAGTTTATCCACATGGACATAAAAAGACCATTTTAAATCTTCATAAAAGGACATTATGTGAGTTGATGCAACTGATCACATTGTACATATATTGTTCTGAACTACGAAGAGTAAACTACTTGTTCTTTACTGTTCACCTGCATGGCATATTTTTCTATCTCCGGCAAGGCAGTGGGCCGATCAAAGGTGAACTAAGGTAAAGGTAAAGGTTGACCCCTGACATTAAGTCCAGTCATGTCTGACTCTGGAGTGTGGTGCTCATCTCCATTTTGTAAGCCGAAGAGCCTGCGTTGTCCATAGACACCTCCAAGGTCATGTGGCCGGCATGACTGCATGGAGTGCCGTTACCTTCCCGCTGGAGCGGTACCTATTGATCTACTCACATTTGCATGTTTTTGAACTGCTAGGTTGGCAGAAGCTAGGTGAATTACATGTGGTTTATTTTACATTGCGCCACAATGGTTGGCACAATGGTTCGAATCCGGGGAGTGGTGTGAGCTCCTGCTGTTAGCCCCAGCTTCTGCCAATATAGCAGTTTGAAAACATGCAAATGTGAGTACCACTCTGACCAACAAGAAGCACTGCATGAATATCAAGCAAAAAGTGGGTGCTAGAAACAATATCATACAAAAGCTGACTGGCACAACCTGGGGATCACAACCAGACACAGTGAAGACATCTGCCCTTGCGCTATGCTACTCTGCTGCATGCCTAGTGTGGAACACATCTCACCACACTAAAACAGTGGATGTGGCTCTTAATGAGACATGCCACATTATCACGGTGCGTCTGCGCCCTACACCACTGGAGAAACTACACTGTCTAGCCAGTATTGCACCACCTGACATCTGCCGGGAAGTAGCAGCCAATAGTGAAAGGACCAAGGCAGTGACATCTCCAGCTCATCCCCTGTTTGGGTATCAGCCAGCATGTCAACGACTTAAATCAAGAAATAGCTTTCTAAGCTCTACAGAGACACTCGCTGGAACACCCCAGCAAGCGAGAGTCTAAAAGTGGCAGGCTCAAACCCAGAACCTCAATCAATGGCTGATACCAAATGAGAGACTCTCCCCTGGGCACACAGAAAACTGGGCGACTTGGAAGGCACCTAACAGACTGCGCTCTGGCACCACAAGATGCAGAGCCAGCCTTAAGAAATGGGGCTACAAAGTGGAGTCCATGACATGTGAGTGTGGAGAAGAGCAAACTACAGACCACCTGCTGCAATGCAACCTGAGCCCTGCCACATGCACAATGGAGGACCTTCTTGAGAAATGGGGCTGCAAAGTGGAATCCATGACATGCGAGTGCGGAGAAGAGTAATCTACAGACCACCTGCTGCAATGCAACCTGAGCCCTGCCACATGCACAATGGAGGACCTTCTTATAGTAACACCAGAGGCACTTCAAGTGGCCAGATACTGGTCAAAGGACATTTAATCAACTACCAAGCTTGCAAACTTTGTGTTTTGTCTGCTTGTTTGTTTTGTTTTGTTAAAAATGTAATACAAATGTCTGGTTGCTCCTGACACGATAAATAAATAACCGCTCTGATGGGAAAGTAATGGCACTTCATGTCTTCGGCTTAGAAATGGAGATGAGCGCCACCCCCCAGAGTTGGACACAACTAGACTTAATGTCTTACATTTAGCTCCTATAAGCTTACAAGTTCCTACCTAGACGTAAATGATAAACTCCTTATTTTATTTTTTTTAGAAAATAAATTGTTTATTACGAAATTATAACATGGATGTCCCGACCTGACACCGATTTATGCCTCAGCTCCCTAGAATAAAATTGTCCCGGATGTGTCAAGTCCCACTGTGGTATCAGAAGAGGAGAGCGTTGTCCAGAGGGCAAAGTCCAGGTCCAAACAAACGTCCACCGCGCCGCCGCCTCTGCGAAGATCCTGGGATCGGTTCCACTGTCAGGGCTTGGGGTGGTCTGCAAGTCGAATGAGAGGTAAATCCATGCTGGCAAGACTGAATTGTTAGGGTCCGGAGAGGCAGGGAGTTTGGTACCAAAGGATTTGGGGAAAGAATGAATGCATAGCGTAGTTTATACAGGGAGAGGGGGAAAGGGAGGAAACCGAAACATAATAAAACACAGCACAAGTACAGCAAGAAAGAAACAAGAACTCAAGCTATGAAAACAGACGTTACCAATGACCAGAGAGGATGGAAGAGAAGAGAGCACCGTTAAAAAAAAGATAAACAAAGATCCAGAAATGTGGAGGTAGTATTACAGAAAAATTCAGGAATGGAGGAAAGTAAAATTGGGAGAGAAGTGCGGAAGGTACGCAAGAGACAAAAAGGCTGAAATAAAAGGGAGGAAAAGGACGCAAAATGTAACTGAAACAATTCAAAGGCAAACGGGGAGAAATTAGTAAAATACAGCAAAACAACAATAGCCAGGTACACAGGAAGGTGTTTGGAGAGAATGAGTTGAAAAGCACGCTAAAGGACACATTCTAACTGAGAACAACTAAGTCAGTTAACTGAAAAGGAAGAAAAAAAGAACAAACAAACTGGAACTCTGCGAGAAAAATCTTTTTTTGGATCGCAACTCCCAGAATCTCCTCGCCAGCAGTGGCCATGCTGGTCTGGCGATTCTGGGAGTTGTAGTCCTCCGAGAAACTTTTCCCAAGCTCCGCAAGCAACACATAAAGGACCAACAGGAATCAGAAGGCTACACTCTTCCATGGATGTCCCCTCCCCGTGTCACATCTCTCAGGTAGGAGGAGGCGGCCCTTCCGGGGCTCCGTAGAGCTCGGCCAGTGTTCGGAAGAGCGGGCCCCATTCTTCCAGGTATTCGTATCCACCTGCATCGCTGTCTCCGGCGCACGAGGAGCCGGGGGAGCTGAGTGAACCTGCGGAGGAGCCCTGCCCCTCGTAGCCGTACACCTGGATGGAGTCATATGGCGGGACGGAAGGGTCGGAATCCACCTCGCACAAGCGGGCCGCCAAAAAGCTGGCCACGTCGTGGGGCTGGGGGGGCACCCGGGTGGACAGCGAGGCTGTAAAGTGCGGACGGGGCAGGACGTCCCGCCGGAGGAGGCGCCGATGCTGTGGTGGAGGGGGGGCAGCATCTGGGTTCTGGAGGGCAGCCATGTCGAAGGCCTCTGTGTCCTCTTCGCCGCCACCCTCGTCGTCGTAAGTGATGATGTTCTCTCGGACATCCTCTTCCTCAAAGGGTAGCAGGGCAGTCTGCTTCTGCCTCCGGAGAGCGACAAAGAGCAATACCAGGGCTGGACAGGGGCAAGTATGGAAGAAAGGGTGGAGGAAATGGATGGAGAAGGATAAAGGTTAACACGACAGAACCACCCCAGTGTACTCATCAGACACATTCTGTGTTACCTCTTTGTGTAAATCCTTTTGGATGCTTCTTAGGGAAGCCAGCACTGGTGCGACAGTCCCAAAACTCATTTCACTCTAAGTTAGCGTTTCTCGACCTGGGGGTTGGGACCCCTGGGAGAGTCGTGAGGGGGTTTCAGAGGGGTCGCCAAAGACCATCAGAAAATATATGTTTCTGATTGTCTTAGAGAAGGATAGGCTGAAGATCTCTCCGCCTATCCTTCTCTTCCTTTTTGGAAACAGACGGTGAATCCTGTCACCAAAAGCTCCTCCTCCGCTGTGACTGGCCAGCATCTCAGCCAAGGGGAGGGCTGTTTCTGAGACTCCAAGTGGGGAGGGGAGAGCAGGAGTACTCAGCACATGGCAGGGTGGTGCGCATGCATGGGCAAGGGAGAGCGAGCAAGGCTGGAGGGAGGCTCACACCAGCAAGTCCCTCAAAGCATGTGGGTTCTGTGTGGGAAGTTTGGCCTAATTCTATCATTGGTGGGCTTCAGAATGTTCCTTGGTTGTAGGTGAACTATAAATCCCAGCAACTACAACTTCCAAATGTCAAGGTCTATTTACCCCAAACTCCTCAAGTGTTCACATTTGGGCATATTGAGTATTTGTGTCGAGTTTGGTCCAGATCCATCATTATTTGAGTCCACCATGCTCTCTGGATGTAAGTGAACTACAACTCCAAAACTCAAGGTCAATGTCCACCAAACCATTTCAGTATTTTCTGTTGGTCATGGGAGTTTGCAGTAGTTGTTGTTGTTGTGTGCTTTTAAGTCGTTTCAGACTTAGGTGGACCCTGAGCGAGGGCCGGGTAAATGACCTTGGTGGGCCATATCTGGCCCTTGGGCTTTAGTTTGAGGATCTTTGTACTAAAGCATTGCAATCCAGCAACAAATGCATTGGTGCAAAAGCAGTCTAGTCTAAAAGGGAATAATTGGGTGACACCATATCAGAGCACGTTGCTCATCCAGAAAACTCAGTACAGCAGGAATTCCCACAGCAGTGCAACAAAGATCCACACTTTATGGCTATCACCCTAAACTAGTGGTTCTCAATCTGTGGGTTCCCACATGTTTTGGACTACAACTCCCAGAGATCCCAGCCAGTTTACCAGCTGTTAGGATTTCTGGGAATTGAAGGCCAAAACATCAGGGGACCCACAGGTTGAGAACCACTGCCCTAAAAACTCTCAGCCCCTCATAATGTCTCTTGACAAGTCAAAGGTGTTGGAGATCCATCCAAGAGTGAGCCACCCCCTCCTTCACTGCCAGTCTTTCCCATCATTCTGCAAACCTTTCCTAACCTGTAATGCCTCATATACACAGCTCTTTTGAGTCCTTTCTTACCAAGCAGAGTGCCCACACAGGCCAGGATGGCAAGGAGGGCCCCGGTGCTGAGGCCGGCAGGTGATCCCTGGGCCTCAGGCCCACAGGTGTGCATGGCTCCATCTCGTCGACACCGGCAGATGCTCACAGTCAGCGTTGGAGAACCCGTGCGGGTGGGGGAACCGCCGTCCACTAGCTCCAGCGGCACCAACAGGGATGTTCCCTGTGCAGGAAGACGGCTGGCCCGGAGTAGCAAGGAGGCCGAGTTATCTGGAAAGGAGATGATTCAAAAGAAAAGGGTGACTTTGGGTCTTAGCAAAATGCTCTTGGAGGACAAGTATGAAAAAATGTACCATCACTATTCAAATATGTTTCCTTCCAAGAATGTATGTGACACCATGTTCATATTGAGATCGATAGAGGTGAGAAGACTGCTACGGAGATGTTGGCCCTGTGTATTTTGTACCTTTCTTGGTACAGATTTCAGCACCTCTCAAATTCCTAGTCCATATGGACATTTGTTTGGAACTGTAGAGGTCAAGCACATGAGCAGAGATCCAGAAAAGACATTCAAACCCCTCACCCTTGTTGTCTCTCACAGTGACATTGGGTTCCCTCGTCCCATGAGGGGAGCGGATGATGATGCGGCTCGTGTTGCCCTCTTCATCTCGATCCACTGCCCGGATCAGCTGCACCAACTGACCAAAGAGAGGAAAACAAACGATGAACAAGAGCACTTTTGGTCCACCCCCCTGCGGACCACAGCCTTCCCAGAACCAAATTCCCAGGGCTGACTGACCTGGCCGGGGGCACTATTGTCGCAGACGAAGGGCTCGTAGCTGTGCTCCAGCTGGGGCGGATTGTCATTCACATCCAGGATCTGGATGGCGACTTGGACATGAGAAGCCTGCGTAGGGCTGTCTGAGAGCAAGAGCAGGAGTGGGGGAGTGACATGTAGCCCCCGCGGCCAACAAGGGCAAAGCCGGTGAGTGACGGTGCCGGTAGGGAAATGAGATGCAAACAATACCCAGCCAGCGCAAGGTTGGAGGCGATGTGTGGAGGACACCGAGAAGCGGCGCATGATTAACCCAGATCCAGAGGGAGATTGAAATCCATCCACGTAGGAGAGCCGTACAGGTCACGCATCACAGATCATGCATTTCCATGTGACAAACATACAAAATCCGGTTGCATAGATTTACATAAGACAGTGAGAGAGATAAAAGAGGGAGAGGCATAGGAATAGCACACAAGCAGGCAACAGTTGCAGTCAAGAGGTGATACAGAAACAGAAACAAAAGGGATAAAGAAGTTTCAGCCATTCAAAGCACGTGTACACGTATGTGCACACAACCCCCAAAGTTTCAAGACAATAGTAGATGATGAACCACATGTACACACAGATGGACAAATGCACATGTCCAGCACACAATGCAATGGCCGGCCATCCAACAAACCATCACCCGGCACAAGCAAAATGGAAAAGTCATAACGAAACATGTAAATTGCCCCACAGAACATTCCCACCATGTATGTTTATTGCAAGTATGGAATAGAGGCAGGACATACGGCAAACATGGGTTTAGGATGCAAAGGAGTCAGCCCAAAGCCATGAGACAGAAACAAGCCAAGCATGGAGGATTACACAAAGACGCATCAAGGAGAGGTGGGAGGGCAGGGAGAGAAAAAAGAGAGAAAGAATGAATACATATTTGCCTATAGGGAAAACTGTATGCTTTGTTGTTCAATGAATATTTATGAGGAAGACCGACTTGCTTAGAATCATGAGTTGGAAGACACCAAAAAGGACCACCCTGGCAATCCAGGAATCCAGCCACTTTGGACAGATAACCATCCAGCCTCTGTTTCAAAACCTTCAAAACCAGACAAGTGCCCCTCGTCTCCCCCCTGCCACTTCCCAGCCGTTCCACAGAACCAAACCCACCTGTCCCTTACCAAGTTCAGTGGCCACCACCGTCATGTTATGCCAGGGCAACACCTCCCTGTCCAGGGGCACCGAGGTAAGGATCGTCCCATCCTGGGGGTTGATGCTGAAATACCGTTCAGGGTCCGTGGGCGGCAGGATGGAGTATCTACAAGATGGGGGGTAACCTGGGGTATCAGGTTGTCGTGACAACCAGGTATAAACAGAGTCACTGTAACTTCACATGCACCACACACCAAAAGTAGAAGCCCCCAGACCCCTCAGCCACAGCATTCGCTCCCCGCTCCCACAGTGCCCGCTGCCATTACCGGATGACACTGCTGGGGGAATCGAGGTCCACGGCTGTCACCTTGCCCACAAGGGTCCCTGGAGGGCTGTTCTCGTAAACGGCGAGGTGGTACTCAGAGCGGGAGAAGGACGGAGGTTCGTCAGCGTCCTCCACCGTGATCCGGACCGTGGCGACGTCCTTGAAGGGGCCTTTGCGGATGTACTGGGGATCGATGAGGGTGTTGGTGGCTTCCACACGGAAGGTGTAAGAGCGTCGGGATTCAAAATCCAGAGGCTAAGGATGGTAGTCCAGTTAAGAGGAAGGAGGGGAGAAAGGAGGACATCATGAAGAAAAGAGCATCCTGGAAAGTCAATATCTGGATGTGGCAGAGACATGTGCCATTCTGGATCTTGGGAGGATGCCAACATGACAGCAAGTGATAAGACAATATTTGGAGGCATCTAATTGTCCATGGAAAAGAGAGTCTTGAGAGGTCATATTTAAAGTCTGGGACTGAAAATATTGTACTGTCGGGCCACTATATTCCCTGGGTTTAGGAGCAAAGGACCCCCATGAAAGTGAAAAACTGTAAATTAAAAAATGGCTATTTTACCTAGCAATTTTTAGGTCCTCCAGCAGGATTGTATGGCCAACTTCCACTAGATGTTGACCATGGAAAGGCACTGGAGGACCTAGAGAGTCCCTAGAGAACTTTTCCCTCTAGGAATGTCCAGGACCTCCAGCTGGTTGTATAGTCAACATCTGGAGGACATTGGCCATAGAATCCCACTGGAGGACCAAATCCCACTGGTGGCTTCATCCAGGCGGGTGCCGAGGGCCCACTCCCCATGTCCCTGCTGCAGGAGGATGCCACAGAGGGCGATCCTGGACCACACTGGAGGACCTTGAGATTCCAAGAGAGAACATTTAAAACCAAACCCACAAATAGCCAAATCTCAAACCTACAATTGTGGAGGTCTGATTGGACATAAGACACATTGGGCCCAGCTGATTGCTCCCCAACCTTTGGTTGCTGATAGGCTTCCAGGCTTTTTGACTGGTTGGGAGAGCTGAGAAGGTCCCATATTCCAATTCCTAAGCATTTTTCTAGGGACCAATGCTGTCCACCCAAAGTTATCCCGATGCTTTTGCTTGGCTCATTTCCATCAGCCTCAGCTCCCAACATCCATTGTCTTTCGGGAGATAGAGAGAACCGGGCAAGCTGGTGACATGAAGACATTTCCTTTGGTAAGTTCTCAAGGAGGATGCTACCACCTGTGGAGATTCCCTGGTTCTCTGCAGGTATCTTTGGGCTGTTGGAGGTACCCCCTGGAATGGGGGGTTGAGAGGCTTTTATAAGGTCCAACCTTTGCTTCTGATGCCCTGCTCAGGCATTTCTCCTGACCCACCTTTTTGACTGTGATGATCCCATCCTGCCCCAGTGAATCGGTGTGGATGGCGAAGGCCTCAGCTCCATCTCCTCCATCTAAGATGCTGTAAGCCATCAAGGCGTTTTCCCCTTCGTCAGGGTCATGTGCCCGTAGCCGTCCTACCACCGAGCCCGGAGGGGCCGTTTCCACCACAGAAAACTGGTAGGAACCTAACGGGTTGGTAACAAGAGGCAGGACATGCATAAAGAGCATGCATGGATGTGTAAAGGGATGACAGTATGACAGTTGGACATTTATGCTGCAGTCATATGTTATGGTGACATCTAGTTTAAGAGCATCTTCTCCCAGTAATTGTTATTGGACTATGTGGGATGGAGACTAACAAGTCTACCCTTTTGGATGTTGATCTTCAGCCATGGGGCGCATAGAAGCTGAACATCAACATCCAAAAGAGTACTTGTTAGTCTGTCATTTTGCTACTGTTATGAATCGTCATGTAAATATCTGAAATGCAGGATATATTTTCATTCACTGGACCAAATTTGGCACAAATACCCAATATGTCCAAATTTGAATATTGGTGAGGTTGGAGGAGGATTCATTTTGTCATTTGCTGGGATTTATAGTTCACCTACAATCCAAGAACTCCATCGACAATGGAATTGAACCAAACTTGGCATACGAACTCCCATGACCAACAGAAAATATTGGAAAGGTTTGGTGAGCATTGACCTTGAGTTTTGGAGTTGTAGTTCACCTACATTCGGAAAGCACTGTGGACTCAAACAATGATGGATCTGGACCAAACTTGACATGAATACTCAATATGGCCAAATGTGAACACTGGTGGAGTTTGGGGAAAATAGACCTTGACGTTTGGGAGTTGTGATTGCTGGGATTTGTAGTTCACCTACAATCAAAGAGCATTCTGAATTCCCCCAATGATAGAATTGAACCAAACTTGGCACACAGAACTCCCATGACCAACAGAAAATACGGGAAAGGTTTGGTGGGCATTGACCTTGAGTTTGGGAGTTGTAGTTCACCTACATTCGGAAAGCACTGTGGACTCAAACAATGATGGATCTGGACCAAATTTGACATGAATACTCAATACGCACAAATGTGAACACTGGTGGATTTCGGGGAAAATAGACCTTGACATTTGGGAGTTGTAGTTGATGGGATTTATAGTTTACCTACAATCAAAGAGCATTCTGAATCCCACCAACAATAGAATTGGGCCAGACTTCCCACACAGTACCACCATAACTAACAGAAAATACTGTGATTTCTGATGGTCTTTAGTGACCCCTCAAGCACCCCCTCGCGAACCCCCCAGGAATCCCGACACCCAGGTTGAGAAACACTGATATACACAGTATATGGGAGGGCCAGTTAACAACCTCTGCAATGGAAGAGGTGGATAACATTTTGCATTAATTCCTAACCACCATTTCTAAAACACTTACAGGGTGACAATGCTTACATAACGTTTCAGGACGGACATTAATTCTTCTAAGATCTTTTCACTGTTGGCTTAAGATCTTAAAGTATTTGATTTGGACGCCTATTTGCGGATATTTGTTTGCCCGCGATAATATATTGGCTAAGAAAGGGGAACATCAATACTGTCAGGATACTTGCACACTGTCTATTTATGAGCTTTGTGATTTGGTATATAAAATTAAATTTAAAAATGTTTCATAATGCCAAGCTCGACAGCGGAACGATAAATCGAGAAATTAGATTAGGAGGTGGAATCCGTGCTCCGCGCTTGCTTTTGTCTCTCCCTCTTACTTAGGGAAACCATTTTAAAAAACCAATTAAAGCCACCGCCATTTCCCTAAATGTAAATCCGATTGGGTGCAATGAGGCTTACTTCTGAGTAGACTTAATAGGACTGTGCTGCAATGGTGCATCTATATCAGGTATGGGCAAACTTTGGCCCTCCAGGTGTTTTGGACTACAACTCCTACCATTCCTAACAACCTCAGGCCCCTTCCTTTCCCCTTGATTAGCATTGAATGGCCTTGCAGCTTCAAAGCCTGGCAGCTTCCTGACTGGGGAAATCCTTTGTTGGGAATTGTTAACTCGTCCTGAAGTGTTAACTGGCAGGAAGCAGCCAGGCTTTGAAACTGCAAGGATATTCAGTGCTGAGTGGGAAAAGGAAGGGGCCTAAGGCTGTTAGGAATGGTGGGAGTTGTAGTCCAAAACTCCTGAAGGGCCAAAGGTTCCCCAAGCCTGATCTATATGGTAGAGTTAATGCATTTTGGCACCACTTTATTAGGCATGACTCAATGTTATGGAATGTTGGAGTTGTAGTTTTGCAAGGTCTTTAACCAAAGAGGGCTGGTCCTCACCAAACTACAACTCCCAGGATTTTACAACATTAGACCACGGCTAACAAAGTGATGCCAAACTGCATAAAATCTACAATGGCCAGGCATGGACAATCTTCACCCCTCCAGGTGTTTTGGACTACAACTCCCACAATTCTTAATACCCTATTGTCTGTTAGTTATGGTGAGAGTTGTAGTCCAAAACTCCTGGAGGGCCAAAGTTTGCCCATGCCTGATATAGATGGTAGATTTAATGCAATTTGGCACCACTTTATTAGGCATGACTCAATGTTATGGAATGTTGGAGTTGTAGTTTTGCAAGGTCTTTAGCCAAAGAGGGCTGGTGCCTCACCAAACTACAACTCCCAGGATTTTACAACACTGGAACATGGCTGACAAAGTGATGCCAAACTGCATAAAATATACAATGACCAGGTATGGACAATCTTCGGCCCTCCAGGTGTTTTGGACTACAACTCCCATCATTCCTAACAGCCTATCGGCTGTTAGAAATGGTGGGAGTTGTAGTCCAAAACACCTGGAGGGCCGAAGATTGCCCATGCCTGGTGTAGATGCACATTAACATACAATAAGGGCCAGGTCCTTACCGACAATTACAGTCACCATCGCTAGCTAATTTTTCATACTTACTTTGCGGAAAGCGGGGTGGATTGTCATTGACGTCGCTCAAGGTGACGGTCACCGTTGTGCTTCCCGAAAGACCCCCGGCATGGCCCCCCATGTCCTTGGCTTGCACCACAACCAGGAATTCCTGTTGTGTCTCCCTGTCCATGTTGGGCGTTGCGGTCCGGATGACACCTATCCATTGCAAAAAGAGCATCAGAAAGAGAGAAGGAGAATGGAAGGCAGTCTAGTAGACAAACAGATGGGGACATGCTATTGCTTTCTGAATGGCCTAGAAAGTGTAATTTGGGTTGCTGTGAGTTTTCCGGACTGTATGGCCGTGTTCCAGAAGCGTTTTGCCCACATCTATGGCAGGCATCCTCAGAGGTAACCTCACAACCACTGAGGATGCCTGCCATAGATGTGGGAGAAATGTCAGGAGAGAATGCTTCTAGAACACGGCCATACAGTCCGGGAAAACTCACAGCAACCCAGTGATGTTGGCCATAAAAGCCAATGACAACAAAGTGTGATTTGCCGTGTCATAGAATCATAGAGTTGGAAGAGACCTCGTGGGCCATCCAGTCCAACCCCCTGCCAAGAAGCAGGAAAATTCATTCAAAGCACCCCAGACAGATGGCCATCCAGCCTCTGCTTAAAAGCCTCCAAAGAAGGAGCCTCCACCACACTGGGGCAGAGAGTTCCACTGCTGAACACCTCTCACAGTCAGGAAGTTCTTCCTAATGTTCAGGTGGAATCTCTTTCCTGTAATTTGAAGCTATTGTTCTGTGTCCCTGTCTCCAGGGCAGCAAAAAAAAAGCTTGTTCCCTCCTATGACTTCTCTTCACATCTTGATACCTGGCTCTCATTACATCTCCTCTCAAATCCTTCTCTTCTTCAGGCTAAACATGCCCAGCTCTTTCAGCCGCTCCTCATAGGGCTTGTTCTCCAGACCCTTGATCTTTTGAGTCGCTCTCCTCTGGACACATTCCAGCTTGTCAATATCTCTCTTCAATTGCAGTTCCTCACTCAACTACAACTCCACCGAATCCATAGCATTGAGCCATGGCAGTTTAAAGTGGTGTCAAACTGCATTAGCTCGATACACCTCTGGTCTAAAACAGACATCACTACACAACGATGTCTCAACTCACTTGCAAACATACCGAGTTGTCTTGCACTGTTGTCTTGCAACTGATCATTTTAGCTGGACGAAAAGGCTGCCTATGAAATTCTAGTTATTCCTCCAAGGAGACAAGTATTGACTATGCAGATAAATAGACTAACAAATGAATGCGCCGTTAAGCTTGTTTCTGTTTCACAACATCCCTTGCCTGGCAATCAGTCACCAGTTCGAATGCATCACTTTAGTTAAATAAAATGTTCACCCGCTTATGCCAAATCATTTTTTCTCAACTTGAGATGGAAGTGATAGAGATGGTGGTGTGGAGAGGAACAAATGTGAAGTTACTACATCTATGGGTGCATCTACACCAGGCATGGGCAAACTTGGGCCCTCCAGGTGTTTTGGACTCCAACTCCCACCATTCCTAACAACCTCAGGCCCCTTCCTTTCCCCTTGATTAGCATTGAATGGCCTTGCAGTTTCAAAGCTTGGCTGCTTCCTGACTGGGGGAATCCTTTGTTGGAAGGTGTTAACCAGTCCTGAAGTGTTAACTGGCAGGAAGCAGCCAGGCTTTGAAACTGCAAGGATATTCAGTGCTGAGGGGGAAAAGGAAGGGACCTGAGGCTGTTAGGAATGGTGGGAGTTGTAGTCCAAAACACTTGGAGGGCCAAAGTTTGCCCATGCCTGACCTATATGGTAGATTTAATGCAGTTTGGCACCACTTTATTAGGCACGACTCAGTGTTATGGAATGTTGGAGTTGTAGTTTTGCAAGGTTTTTAGCCAAAGAGGGCTGGTGCCTCACCAAACTACAAGTTTGCATATGCCTCATCTACATTGTACAATTGATGCAGTTTAACACTACTTAAGCTCAATGCTGTGGCATGCTGGGAGTTGTAGTTTAGTGAGCCGCCAGCTCTATTTGACAGGAAATCTCAAAAGCTTGGAAAACTATAACTTCCATATGATTTCATAGACTTGAGCCATGGTAGTGAAAGTGTTGTCAAATTGCATAAACTAGGTGCACCCAATATCTCAGGCTGGATCTACACTGCCATATAATCCAGATTAGCAAAACAGGTAATCCAGATTATCCCCTTTGAACTGGATTATACGAGTCCACACTGCCATATAAACCAGTTCAAAGCAAAAAATCTGGGCTTCGTACAGCCTTTGCAAAAGCAGTTTAAACACTTGATATAGCAAAGGTTCAGAGATGTTATTTCAGGTTTAGTCGTTATTTGGGGTCATGCTGGCCACATGACCGGGAGGTGTCTATGGACAACGCCGGCTCTTCTGCTTAGAAATGGAGATGAGCACCAACCCCCAGACGACTGGACTTAATGTTGGGGGACAACCTTTACCTTTATAAGGAAAATACACGCTGTTCTTTTAATATCCTTACAATATTCTAATGAAATAACATCCATATAAAACTTCTAATGTCTTTGAATATAATGTTAAAACCAAATGTGTACGATCAAATTGACCAGTTCTACTTTTTCCCCAGCAAATCCCCATTACTGGATCCATGTCACAACATGACCATAAAAATGAATAAATGGGCAGAGGTGGAGGTTTGACTTAATAGGATTAGCCAATGATGGGTGAACCGGTCGGAGTGAAGCCGGGAAGGACAAGTGATTCCAAGGATGGATGAGCTTCTCCAGCCACTTTCAAACTTCCTCCGCTGTACTGGCGCCTGTACGCTCGGGTAGTGCTTATTAATTTAAGATTTTCTTAAAGGCCGTTAGCTTGCCCATTGAACATCCCTAAGTTCATCAGAGCTCGGTTGGCAATATAAGTCGCTCGCAAATGCAAGCAGGAAAGGCTCCTCTTTTGCTGGAGAAAAAGAACCTGCAAACCCACGTCTCCATAGGTTTTGACCTATAAAGCCCTTTATGGCTTGGCTCTAGGTCATTTGGAGGACTCTCTCTCTCAGCCTATGGATGCATCTACATGGCTGAATCGGCACTGCCGTGTAATCCAGTTTCGGAATGCAGATTAACTGCATTGAACTTAATTATATGGCAGTGTAGACTCATACATCATCACCGAAATACAACACCGCCTGAGCTCTGCGAGCGCAGCATTTTTCCGAATGAAGCAGAGAGTGTTTGAGGACTGGGACATCCGTAGGGATACCAAGGTGCTTGTTTATAGAGCTATTGTCCTCCCAACCTTGCTATATGCCTGTGAAACGTGGACTGTCTACAAACGTCACATGAAACTCCTGGAACGATTCCATCAGCGCTGCCTCTGGAAAATCCTGCAAATCTCTTGGGAAGACAGGCGGACAAACATCAGCGTGCTGGAAGAAGCAAAGACCACCAGCACTGAAGCGATGGTCCTCCACCATCAACTCCGCTGGACCGGCCACGTTGTCCAGATGCCCGACCACCGTCTCCGAAAGCAGTTGCTCTACTCCAAGCTCAAGAACGAAAAATGGAATGTTGGTGGACAGGAAAAGAGATTTAAAGATGGGCTCAAAGCCAACCTTAAAAACTCTGGCATAGACACTGAGAACTGGGAAGCCATGGCCCTTGACCGCTCCAGCTGGAGGTTAGCTGTGACCAGCAGTGCTGCAGAATTTGAAGAGGCACGAATAGAGGGCGAAAGGGAGAAGCGTGCCAAGAGGAAGGCGCATCAAGCCAACCCCGACCGAGACCGCCTTCCACCTGGAAACCAATGCCCTCACTACGGAAGAAGATGCAGAGCAAGAATAGGGCTCCACAGCCACATACGGACCCACAAGAATACTGGAAGACAATCCTCCTCGGAAAATGAGGGCTCGCCTAAGTACGTAAGTAAAGACTCATCCAATCCAGTTCAATGCGTTTAATCCAAATTATATGGCAGTGTAGATCCAGCCACTGTAGCATTCATGCCGTTTGATGCCACCTGAACTGCCGTGGCTCAATGATGTCAAATCCTGAGAGTTGTAGTTTTACAGGGTCTTCTGCCTCCTCTGCCAAAGAGTGCTGGGACCTCATAAAAATGCAATTCCCAGGATTCCATAACATTGAACGAGGGAAAGTAAAGTGATATCAAACTGTATTAATTCTATAGCGTAGGCTAGTGGTTCACAACCTTTTTTTGACCAGGGACCACTTGACCAGGGATCACTTTGACCAGGGACCACTCTCCAATATTAGTACCAAAAGGGTTACGGATCAGTTTTCGGTCAACTTTAGATTCAGTTGGGTTATTTGGAGTGCTGATTCACAAAATTACATTGGCTAGACCACATCAGCTCTAGTTTTTGATACAGAACATATGCCATCCACACCTACATCTACATCTGCGTTGCCATCTGTTCACCCACAGAAAACCATATTTCATAAGACTCGGCAGTATAAGAGGGTTTTGAGAGACTAGTTGCTCTTGTTGTAACGGTATAGTAACGGTGAGGTTGCGGGCCATATTTTGGTTCTTATGGACCATATTTAGGTTCTTGCTGACCATATTTTGGTTCTTGTGGACTATATTTAGGTTCTTGTGGACCATGTTTTGGTTCTTGTGGACCATATTTAGGTTCTTGTGGACCATATTTTGGTTCTTGTGGACTATATTTAAGTTCTTGTGGACCATATTTTGGTTCTTGTGGACCATATTTAGGTTGTTATGGACCATATTTTGGTTCTTGTGGACCACTGGTGGTCCATGGACCACAGATTGGGAACTACTGTAAATGCACCCTAGAAGAACACTGCAATCACCATATTTAGGTTCTTTTGGACCATATTTTGGTTCTTGTGGACTATATTTTGGTTCTTGTGGACCATATTTAGGTTCTTGTAGACCATATTTAGGTTCTTGTGGACCATATTTTGGTTCTTGTGGACCATATTTAGGTTCTTGCTGATCATATTTTGGTTCTTGTGGGCCACTGGTGGCCCATGGACCACAGGTTGGGAAATACTCTAGATGCACCCTAGAAGAACACTGTAATCATCTGGAGAAGACCTTCTCTGTGGCCCCTTCTAGGGCCCCTTCTACACTGCCACATAAAATCCAGATTATCAGCTTTGAACTGGATTATACGGCAGTCTAAATCCAGTTCAAATGTGGATTATCTGCTTTGATAATCTGGATTATATGGCAGTGTAGAAGGGGCATGAGCCTCACCATGATCTCAATCTTCTTGATGGGAATAAGGGAGATGGGAACAAGATCTTTTTGGGGTCTATTCACAGACTTTGGAAATCCCTCCTTAGAAAGACCCATGCCTGCTCACCTTTTGTTGGCTGGTGAAAACATTGCTCTGATATTGGGCAGAAGGTTGCTGATGTAATTGGGATTTTAAGGTGGGGATAAAGCTTTAATGCATCCAATACTGCAAACTCAGGGCTGTGCCTTCTGTGACCGAGTCTCTCTGTTTGGAACTTGGTTCTCCTTCTTTCCCTGCTGTTTCTCATTTTACTGAGTGCCGTTGTCGTCTTTTCCAATTAATCGGTTTGCCTAATGATAAGGCCAACCTTTCCGCGGTGCTGGGATGGCATGCTCCTGAGAGGCCAGAGGCAATGTTGCTGGTAGGACCTCGCGTCAGACAGGCTTTTGTTGAGGAGCCAGAACTAGATGTGCCAAACTGCTACAAGGCAGCTGTAGTTGTGTGTTTGTATGTGTTCGGGGATTGACACTGGCAGAGAAGTTTTCCGAGACAACTGCAATGGCACTGTACCTAACTCTTGTTAGTACTGCACAGCAGTCTGTTGTTGTATTTCCAACATTTCCAAATTATGGCAATCCTATCTTTGGGTTTTCTGTGGCTGAGAGTGCATGACTTGCCTAAGGTCACCAGGTGAGTTAACTGCAAGAAACTGCAAGTCACTTTTGGTGTGAGAGAATTGGCTGTCTGCAAGGACGTTGCCCAGGGGACACATGTTTTACCATCCTGTGGGAGGCTTCTCTCATGTCCCTGCATGAGAAGCTGGAGCTGACAGATGGGAGCTCACCCTGCTCCTCGGATTTGAACCACCAACCTTTCGGTCAGCAGTCATGCTGGCACAAGGGTTTAACCTTGGTAACCTTGGGCAAGTCACACACTCTCCAAAAACTTCTATCCACCTACCAGTCCACAATCTTGCCATCATTTACCTTGCTGGGCAACAAAAATGGATGTGATAATTGCCTTCCATCCTGGCCATTCCTTTTCTCTGCAATGGGATCTTATATCATTGCCCCCACCCCACCCCACCCCACCCGTGCCCCTTTCTCCATAGTGTGTACCCGTTTGGGGGTCGACGGAGAAGAACGGCAACCCCTCGAGGACCGTGTAGACCAGTTTGGCGCTGTTCCCGTAGAGCGGGTCATCTGCATCTTGGGCGGTCACTTGGATCACGGACGTACCTGAAAGATTGGGGCAGACTGAAACAAATCATCACCACCATTGCTATTTAACACATTAGCAAGGACGCCAAGCTATAGAAACTTGAGGAAGAGCTCATATAGCAAATCATAGGCAGGAGGTGTCTTCCCATTCCCTCCATGTTTGAGGGAGTATCTGCGCTATAGAATGAATGCAGTTTGGTGTCACTTTAACTGCTATGGCATCCTGGGTGTTGTAGTTTTATAAGATATGAGTAAAAAAAGGAAAACCTCAAGGTCTTCTATCCCAAGTTTCTGTTTTGAAGAGCAATTTCAGAACCTAGCTTCAGCTCAAAGTAGTTTCTTCTACTGATCTTAAGAGATGTCTGGTGAGGTGTCAGCATTCCTTGGCAGAGAAGGCCAAAGACCTTTTGAAACTACAACTCCCAGGATTCATAGAATCATAGAGTTGGAAGAGACCTCATGGGCCATCCAGTCCAACCCCCCACCAAAAAGCAGAAAAATTACATTCAAAGCACCCCCAACAGATAGCCATCCAGCCTCTGTTTAAAAGCCTCCAAAGAAGGAGCCTCCACCACACTCTGGGGCAGAGAGTTCCACTGCTGAACAGCTCTCACAGTTAGGAAGTTCTTCCTATTGTTCAGGTGGAATCTCCTTTCTTGCAGTTTGAAGCCATTGCTCCGTGTCCTAGTCTCCAGGGAAGCAGAAAACAAGCTTCCTCCCTCCTCCCTATGATTTCCTCTCACATGGCTATCATGTCTCCTCTCAGCCTTCTCTTCTGCAGGCTAAACATGCCCAGCTCTTTAAGCCACTCCTCATAGGGCTTGTTCTCCAGACCTTTGATCATTTGAATCACCCTCCTCTGGACACATTCCAGCTTGTCAATATCTCTCTTCAATTGTGGTGCCCAGAATTGGACACAGTATTCCAGGTGTGGTCTAACCAAGGCAGAATAGAGCATGGATAGCATGACTTCCCTGGATCGAGATATTCCATAGCTTTGAGCCATGGCAGTTAAAGTAGCGTTGGACTGCATTAACTCCACAGTATAGATCCACCTAAAGAATGGTATTCCATGGGCTGGAAAAGGACCGTCTCCCTTCAGTCCTAGGCCCCCAGACTCACCCACGTTGCTCATCTCAGGCACCGTGGCATGGTAGGGACCATGCAAGAAAACCGGAGGGTTGTCATTGATGTCTTGGACTTTGATGATGAATTCGGAGGGCGGCTCCAGGGGCCGGTTGGAAGCCCGATCCACCGCCTGGGCCAGCAACGTGTACTGGGCTTTCTCCTCTCTGTCCAGTGTTTTGGTGACATGGATGTTGCCCGTCTTCTCGTCGATGACGAAGACAGTCCCGGCCCCTTCGCCGGTCAGGACGTACTTGATGCGGCCCTCGCCCCTGTCCACATCTGTGTGTAGCTGGACCAGAATAGAAAAGGGATACAGAACATGGTTGGTAAGGCAGAAGGGAAAGAGGAAGACTGCAGCGAAAATGGATAGAGTCAGTCAATGCAATCTACATTTCTAAGACCTATCAAGGCCTGGAGGTCTTTCATAAAGGTATGCTGAAGCCAAACCGGTGGCAATTAATCTTGCATAGAATATAGCCAAATATATATGTGAAAGTTGAGTATCCCTTATCCAAAAGTGTTTTGTTTTGGATTTTGGAATACAGGTCGAATATCATAATCTACACTATATTATTATCAACCATTTCATAAGTCAAAGTACCCCAAAATCCAGACCTGACCCCATGAATGGCTGAGGTAGTGATCCTTTTGCTTTCTGATAGTTCGATGTAAACAAACTTTGTTTCATGTCCAAAATTATTTAAAATATTGTGTATAAAATTATGTTTATGCTCTTTCTCTAACATAAATGAAATCCGTGTTTAGACTTGAGTGCCATCTCCAAGGAATCTCATGATGCACATATATGCACATATAGATACAGTAGATTCTCGCTTATCCGACCTTCACTTATCCAACATTCGACCTTCGCTTATCCGCCATTCCGTCTTATCCAACGCTGTTACCCTTCAATTAAAAGAGCGCTCCCCAACTCTCTCTCCATTCCCATTAAGTGAAAAAGGCAAGATGAGGAGGAGGGAGGAAAGAAAGGGGGAAAGAGGCAGGACGAGAAGTGGAAGCATCCTCCCTCCTTCCCTCTGTGATTTCCACGCTCCTCTTCCACATCCGGGAACTTCCTGCTAGGCAGCTCTAGCTCCGAGGTGTTGTCTTGCCATAACCCTTTGAGTCCCTATGGTTAGTATTCTAGGTGCTTAGTGCCGCGTTGGGCAGGTTTTTTTTTTTTTGTCGTGTCAGGAGCGACTTGAGAAACTGCAAGTCGCTTCTGGTGTGAGAGAATTGGCCGTCTGCAAGGACGTTGCCCAGGGGATGCCCAGATGATTTGATGTTTTTATCATCCTTTGTGGGAGGCTTCTCTCATGTCCCCGCATGAGGAGCTGGAGCTGGTAGAGGGAGCTCATCCGCCTCTCCCTGGATTTGAACCTGCGACCTGTCAGTCTTCAGTCCTGCTGGCACAGGGCTTTAACCCACTGCGCCACCGGGAGCTCCATCGGGCAGGTAACAGTAGGAGACTCCTTATTATCTGACATTTTGATTTATCCAACATTCTGCTGGTCCATTTATGTTGGATAAGCGAGATTCTACTGTATTCCAAAATACGAAATCCAAACGCTTCTGATACCAAGCATTTTGGGATGAAAGACACTCAACTTGTGCTTGTATTTGCATATCTATATAAATAAAAATATAATGTTCGTTTGTGGGATTGACATAACCCAAAAACTACTGGATGAATTGACACCAAATTTGGACACAATACGCCTATCAAGCCAATGAGGGACCATCACTCATAAAAACACTGAAAAACACAGCAAAAGGGACTTAAAAAGCAAAAAAAAAAAGAAGCAAAAGGACACTACAGCGCATGCGCAAAAATGACTCTCTCGGCAAACAAAACACACAATAGCATATCCAAACTGTCTTCCGGACTACAGCTCCCAGCATCCCCTAGACCAGGCCCTTTAGGAGAGGAGGATGCTCTAAATGCACTGCCTCCAAGATGCAAGTTTTCTTCTCCTTGGATTTCTTTGAGAGCATCCCAACCCTGAACGGTTTGGGACCAGCCTACCTGCATGACCGCATCTCCGTCTACGAACCCACACGTTCACTTCTTTCATCTGGAGAGTCCCTGCTCGTGATCCCGCCCGCGTCACAAGCGCGCTTGGTGGGGACGCGAGACAGGGCCTTCTCTGTGGTGGCCCCCGCCTCTGGAATGCCCTCCCGAAAGATCTCAGACAAGCCCCTACATTGGCGGTCTTCAGAAAGAATTTGAAAACCTGGCTGTTCCAATGTGCCTTTTCAGATTAGGAACCCCACTACCAAATCCCAGAAGCACTTTAGTAGAACCATGATCACCGCACACTGCACTTATATTATAATCCCATATCCCTCCGACACATCAGCACTTTTAATCCTGTACCCCTACTCCGGCCGGCTCAGTTTTTAATAATGTCTTGTTGTACTGCTATTGTTATTGTTTTTGCTTAACTGTTTTATTTGCTAGGTACTGTATTGTTGTATTGTGTGGGCTTCGGCCTGTTGTAAGCCGCATCGAATCCCTTGGGAGATGCTAGCGGGGTACAAATAAAGTTATAATAATAATAATAATAATAATAATAATAATAATAATAATCCCTGCACATTCCCAATTTCCTATTCCTGGACCACAACTCCCAGCAATCCTCCAGATAGATTAGATTGAGATAGATAGGGAAGTAGATAGATGGATCAGGAGGACTGCTAGGAGTTGCAGTCCAAGAATAGGTAGAGAAGGAAGAAAGGGAAGAAAGAGGAAGGGAAGAAAAGGGAAAGGAAGGGAAGAAGAAGAGAAGGAAGGAAGGAGAGAGGGAAAGAAGAAAAGGGAAGGAAGGAGAGAAAGAAAGAAGGAGAGGAAGAGGGAGGAAAGGCTGGCCACAGCAACGTGTGGCGGGTACAGCTAGTGTGTACATAATGAGGTATCTTAGAGATAAGGTCCAAGTCTAAGCGTTTCTCTATTTGTAAGTCACCCAGCAGGATTCTATGGTCATCTTCTGGCTTCAAAGTCTTTCTCATTACTCTTAACCTCAGTGAATGTGGAAGCCAACTGCTTTCCTATGAAGCATTCATCCTAGGATGATTTGGCTCACCCTTCCAATGAGGACGGGTTCTGGTCCAGCGTACTCCTCGATGACGAAGAACTGGTTCCAGACCCAGCTGCGTCGGGACCGCAAGAGGGGCTTCTCCCAGCGCTGAGACATGTTCCCCCGGAAGGCGCCGGCCTTGGTTCCCTGGACGAGGGGCACAAGGCGCCCTGCGCAGCCACAGCCTCCCAACCAGGCCAGCAGCAGTTGCAGAAAGCTGGCCATGGCTCAGCCCCAGTGGTCAGTCCTCCTCCTCCTCCTTCTCCTCCTGCTGCTGCTGCGGGGGCCGCCACTCATCCGTGTCGCCCATAGGGATCGGCTACCCCATCTGGATGGGTCTGGAAGAGAGAAGAGAGACCAGAGATTAGTGGCAAGCCCTTTGGTGGTTCTCAACCTTCCTAATGCCATGACCCCTTAACACAGTTCCTCATGTTGTGATGACCCCAACCATAACATTATTTTAGTTTCTCCTGACGTTTCGCCTGCATCTATGGCAAGCATCCTCAGAGGTGAGGTCTTGGATGCTTGCCATAGATGCAGGCGAAACGTCAGGAGAAATGCCTCTAGAACATGGCCCTATAGCCCGAAAAAACCCAACCTAGTGTTTCCAGCCATGAAAGCCTTCGACATTATTTTAGTTGCTACTTCATAACTGTCATTTTGCTACTGTTATGAATCGTAATGTAAATATCTGATATGAAGGATGTATTTTCATTCACTGGACCAAATTTGGCACAAATACGCGATACGTCCAAATTGGAATACTGGTTGCGTTGGAGAGAGGGATTGATTTTGTCATTTGGGAGTTGTAGTTGCTGGCATTTATAATTCATCTACAATCAAAGAACATTCTGAACCCCACCAACAATGGAATTGAACCAAACTTGACACGGAACTCCCATGACCAACAGAAAATACTGGAAGAGTTTGGTGAGCATTGACCTTGAGTTTTGAAGTTGTAGTTCACCTATGTCCAGAAAGCATGGTGGACTCAAACAATGATGGATTTGGACCAAACTTGGCATGAATACTCAATATGCCCAAATGTGAACACCTGTGGAGTTTGAGGGAAATAGACATTTGGGAATTGTAGTTGCTGGGATTTATAGTTCACCTACAATCAAAGAGCATTCTGAACTCCACCTAGGATGGAATTGAACCAAACTTGGCACAGAACTCCCATTACTAACAGAAACTACTCTAAGGGTTTGGTGGGCATTGACCTTGAGTTTTGGAGTTGTAGTTCACCTACATCAAGAGATCACTGTGGACTCAAACAATGATGGATCTGGACCAAACTTGGCACGAATACTCCATATGCCCAAATGTGAATATTGATGGAGTTTGAGGAAAATAGACCTTGATATGTGGGAGTTGTAGTTGCTGGGATTTATAGTTCACCTACAATCAAAGAGAATTCTGAACTACACTTAGGATGGGATTGAACCAAACTTGGCACAGAACTCCATGACCAACAGAAAACACTGGAAGAGTTTCGTTGTCATTGACCTTGAGTTTTGGAGTTGTAGTTTGCCTACATCCAGAGAGCACAGTGGACTCAAACAATGATGGATCTGGACCAAACCTGGCACGAATACTCCATATGCCCAAATGCGAACACTGGTGGAGTTTGGGGAAAGTAGACCTTGACATTTGGGTGTTGTAGTTGCTGGGATTTATAGTTCATCTGCAATCAAAGAGCATTCTGAACCCCACCAATGATGGAATTAGGCCAAACTTCCCTCACAGAACCCCCATGATCAAAGGAAATGCTGTGTTTTCTGATAGTCTTTGGTGACCCCTATGACACCCTCTCGCAACGCCCCCCCCCCCCCGCAAAGGTTCCCGACCCCCAGGTTGAGAAATGCTGATCTACTTGATTGATTACCTGCTCCTCCAAATCACTTTTGCATATCATCCAGCATTCTGCACATGGAAACTGGGGCCCCTTCCACACAGCTGAATAAAATCCCACATTATCTACTTTGAATTTGAATATGTGGACACAGATAACCCATTCCCAAGCAGATATGGATTATCTGCTGTGATATTCTGGGTTATATGGCTGTGGGAGAGGGACCTCAGTTGGCAGCATGTGAAAATAATCTGAAAACAAAAGGGCAAAGTGGGAGAGAATGGGACATTTTGCAAGCGGAGATGGCAAAGGAGTAATCACGATAGTCCCTCCCAAATTGCAAGGAGATGCTTTCTGTCTGCAGTCAATGGCTGAATCTAACAGGAAATGTTCCTGTTGGAAAGGCAATCCTCTGACGGTGCTTCGGAAACAGATTTGTAAATGTTATTCATTGTGGTGGAAATTACACTATTGATTTGCTACATTAATCACGAATGATGTATTATTAAGCACGGATGGTGTTTTAAAGAGCGAGCCAGGGGGTGCCGCATTGTTTTTAACTGGATGGTTTTTTAACAGCTCTTTATATGTTTGACTGTATTCTAACTTAATTACTTTAATAATTGTGTTGAGTTTAATTCCATTTTAATATCCACCCTTTGCGGTGCTTTTTAAAGCACGTGCGGCTTGGAGTCCCAATCCTGGGCCAAAGTGGGCATCATCATCATCACCAAAATCATCATCAGTGGGTTAAACCCCTGTGCCGGCAGGACTGAAGACCGATGGGTCACAGGTTTGAATCCAGGGAGAGGCGGATGAGCTCCCTCTATCAGCTCCAGCTCCTCATGCAGGGACACGAGAGAAGCCTCCCACAAGGATGATAAAAACATCAAATCATCCAGGTGTCCCCTGGGCAACATCCTTGCAGACGGCCAATTCTCTCACACCAGAAGCGACTTGCAGTTTCTCAAGTCGCTCCTGACACGACAAAAAAAAATCATCAAAATTAGAAATCACTGAGTGCCCTTCCAGACAGGCCCTATATCCCAGGTTCTGATCCCAGGTTTTCTGCTTTAAACTGGATTATATGATTACGCACTGCCAGAACTACAAGAAAGGAGATTCCACCTGAACATTAGGAAGAACTTCCTGACTGTGAGAGCTGTTCAGCAGTGGAACTCTCTGCCTCAGAGTGTGGTGGAGGCTCCTTCTTTGGAGGCTGGATGTCCATCTTTCGGGGGTGCTTTGAATGCGATTTTCCTGCTTCTTGGTAGGGGGTTGGACTGGATGGTCCATGAGGTCTCTTCCAACTCAAAAATTCTATGATTCTATGACCGTGGATAGCGAGATCTGGGCCGTGGATACGGAGTCCAATAAGCGATAGCCGGCACCAACAATAAGTCAACCTTGTGAGTCCGCGTGCCTGGTGAGTGAAGAGGCCTGATCTGCCAAACTAAAGCTCACCAAGTTGAATAAGAAGCCACCAAGTCATATAAACCAGAATATCAAGGCAGAAAATCCCACAATATCTGCTTTGAACTGGGACCCCTTCCACACAGCCCTATATCCCAGAATATTAAGGCAGTAATCCCACAATATGTGCTTTGCACTGGGTTATCTAAGTCCACACTCAAATAATGTGAGATGTCCTGCCTTGATATCCTGGGATATATGGCTGTGTGGAAGGGCTCTGCGTTATTTGAGTCTACACTGCCAAATAACCCAGTTCAAAGCAGATAATGTGGGATTTTCTTCAGCTGCATGGAAGGAGCCTATGTTATGCCAAACGAATACCAAAAGCAATAGTTTTTGAAAATCTTAGTTTTCTAAGATCTACAGAGATACTTGCAGGAACACCTCAGCAAGCGAGAGTCCAAAAGTGGCAGGCTAAAACCCAGATCTTAATCAGTGGCTGAGACTGAATGAGAGACTTCCCCCTAGGCACTCAGAAGACTGGGCGACTTGGAAGGTGCTTAACAGACTGCGCCGTGGAAACCAACCTTCAGAAATGGTGGACTACGAAGTGGAGTCCACAACATGCGAGTGTGGAGAAGAGCAAACCACAGACCACCTATTGCAATGTGTCTCCATCAGACAAAGAGTTCTTTATCCCACTCTGGACATCATTCCATTGATATATTAACCCCACTTGCCTAGTTTCCAACAGGCCTCACAACCTCTGAGGATGCCTGCCATAGATATGGACAAAACGTCAGGAGAGAATGCTTCTGGAACATGGCCATACAGCCTGGAAAACTCAGAGCAACCCAGCGGTTCTTGTAGCTTCAAATCTTTGCTTCTTCCTGCCTAAGGGAATCCTTTGTTGGGAAAAATCAGGGCCAGCTCATCACTTCCCAACAAAGGATTCCCCCAGGCAGGAAGCAGCAATTCTTGTAGCTTCAAAGCTTGACTGCTTCCTGCCTGAGGGAATCCTTTGTTGGGAAAAATCAGGGTCAGCTAATCACCTCCCAACAAAGGATTCCCCCAGGCAGGAAGCAGCGATTCTTGTAGCTTCAAAGCTTGGCTGCTTCCTGCCTGAGGGAATCCTTTGTTGGGAGAAATCAGGGCCAGCTCAACACCTCCCAACAAAGGATTCCCCCAGGCAGGAAGCAGCGATTCTTGTAGCTTCAAAGCTTGGCTGCTTCCTGCCTAAGGGAATCCTTTGTTGGGAGAAATCAGGGCCAGCTCAACACCTCCCAACAAAGGATTCCCCCAGGCAGGAAGCAGCAATTCTTGTAACTTCAAAACTTGGCTGTTTCCTGCCTGAGGGAATCCTTTGTTGGGAAAAATCAGGGCCAGCTCATCACCTCCCAACAAAGGATTCCCCCAGGCAGGAAGCAGCGATTCTTGTAGCTTCAAAGCTTGGCTGTGTCCTGCCCGAGGGAATCCTTTGTTGGGAAAAATTAGGGCCAGCTCATCACCTCCCAACAAAGGATTCCCCCAGGCAGGAAGCAGCGATTCTTGTAGCTTCAAAGTTTGGCTGCTTCCTGCCTGAGGGAATCTTTTGTTGGGAAAAATCAGGGCCAGGTCATCACCTCCCAACAAAAGATTCACCCAGGCAGGAAGCAGCCAGGCTTTGAAGCTACAAGAATCGCTGCTTCTTGCCTGGGGAATCCTTTGTTGGGAGGTGATGAACTGGCCCTGATTTTGAAGCTACAAGGCCATTCAGTGCTAATCAAGGTGGCCAATTGCAACATTCACACATGCCTCAAGCAGGCAAGAGTTCTCTCTCCCACCTTGGACATCATCCCACAGACATTCCCGACGTTTTGCCCACATCTATGGCAGGCAACTTCTGAGGATGCCTGCCATAGATGCGGGTGAAACGTCAGGAAAGAATGCTTCTGAAACATGGCCGTACAGCTCGGAAACACTCACAGCAACCCAAGGATTCCGACCATGAAAACCTTCGACAACACATCAATTCAGCATAGTTTGAGCCGTTTCTGGAGTATAACAACTACTTTCAAAAGAAGTGCCGCA